GGTAAGTTGCTGTATGAGTACATAAAAGTGTTTTGGGTGAGCCTGGCATATATTTATAATCCCAGCACCTGGGAAGCTTTCAAATTCAATTCTAGTTTACTCTTTTGGGCTAGACCCTAGCTTAAAAAACACAAGGGATATTTTGGTATTAAAATATGGTGACATTAATTTATACTGTGTAATAATTTTTAACTCAAGATATGATGCATAGGATTCTTCAAGTTTTTTCCCAAAAATGAAAACCTCAATGACTGAAATTTAGGGCTGGGCTGGTTCAATTAGCATCAGATATAGTGCTGTTCCTCATTATTTACTTAACTTTTGATTACAAACTCCCTTTATGGTTTAATGAAAATCACCTTCAAAAAGTTTTTTTTTTTTTTTTAAATCTGAACTAAATGCTTGGTTATTGTAGTGGCCAACATACTGTGCCAACTTGGCTGGATTGCCTTGGCAAATGGTTCTACACCCTGGGCCGTGGGGGCTCCCACCCTAGGATGGGAGGGCCTGCCCCAGAATGACTCAGTACAAAAAGGGTATATAAAGGGGTTGAGGAAGGGTTTGGTGGTCCACTTCCTCAGAGGAACTTCAGTCTTTTGCAGTCAGCATGGCAAGGTTTTATATTGGACTTTCACCTTGCCTTATTTTTTCAAATATAATAGATAGGCAAGTATTAATTAGGTCATTATTATTTCTTTTTAGAAATTATGTGGCAGAGATGAAACATGTTATTTTTTGTGGTACTGGGGATTGAACCCAGGCCTTCACACTGTTCTAAAATCCCTAGCCTTTTTTTATTTTTTATTTTGAGACAAGATCTCACTAAATTGGCCAGGCTGTGCTTGAACTTGCCATCCTTCTGCCTCAGCCTCTCAGAATTACAGGCGTGCACCATCACACCCTGCTAGATTAACTATTTAATCTGAAGACAAGTTATGAGACACCTGAATCAAATTGGGTTGTAGGGTTTCCTCTTAGGACTCCATTTAGGGCAGGCAGCGGACTTTCTGTGGTGCTTTTACATATTGTAGAAAATGGGAAATGCAATGGAGTTTTTCAGGTCCTTTGTCTTATTCTGCAATGTAGAAATTATATGGAAGATCGAAAATAATTTAAATTTTGCCTCATTTTTCTGCGATTCATTGTATTTTTTGTTTGTTTCCAGACCAAATGTTTATTCAGCTTGTTCCGGGATACTGGCCATCATTTGATTCAGAATAATAAAGTAGGAGCGGTTACCTCTCCACTGCCCAAATCCCTTATTTCTAAGACTCCGAAAGAAGATAAAGCAGGCAAAGAGAAGGACACTGATGGAAAGCTTAAGCCTAGCGAAGTGGTAGGTGGCAGAGGGGGTGGTCTTCCTAGACCCCAGCGGCTTGCGCTGATTTCTCTGTGCAGACAGTGTCGCTGTAGTCTGTCTTTGATGTAAAGTAATGATGTTGTTCTGGCCATTTGAACACTGTACAAATTCCATTTTTGAGGTGTGTTCACTTTCTTGCAGCAAGTGTCTAGTGTAAAGTCTCAGAGCTCAGATACTCCCGTGGAAGGCGAAGCCCCTCTAAGTCACAATCCGGAAGGACAGGTAACTGTGCACAAAGGTTGGGGAAATTACATTTAAGTGCATCAGATCTTTAGTGCTCAGGGCAGGTGTGTGCGTTACCATCCCATGTTTGCCTGTGATCATGGGGAGATTTGTTTTGTTGAGATTCTGTAATGTGCGTCGGTACCAGGTTATCTTTATGGTTCTTGCAGCATAACATTTTATGTGTTGCATTAATTTTATTCAGTGAAGTACTGTGAGGGATGCAAAGATGCATCAGCTCCAGCCTTTATTTTTTATCTGTCTCAGGACACTCAGCTCTCTGGTAGCAGAAACAGTGGGTACACGGCTAACCATGATATGCAGCGCTGAGTGAGCCGGGAGCACTGAGTGGCTCAGGGGCACAGCGCCTGCCTGGCAAGCACGAGATCCTGAGTTTGATTCCCAGTACTAAAAAAGAAAGATTGCACTGAGTGCTAGAATAGAGCAAATGTGAGTTCTGCAGCGTCTCAGGAAGCAGAGAGGACTGTGTGTCAGGATGGGGCAGTCTCAGAACAGGCTTCATGGAAGAGGTGACTGCAAACTGTGTAGTGAATGATAAGGAGAACTCTGCCACACAAAAATGAAAGGAGAGGCCAGGGGACGGTATGATTCAAAGCACAGAGAAAGAATTTGTCAGAGCAGAATTGAGGGCGCCTCAATCAATTTAGTGTTGTAGGAAGAGGTGTGAAAGAAGAGAGGCAGTCTTGTTATTGAAAAATATGAAGGGTTTGCTAAAATGTTTGGGCTTAGGCAGGGCTGGGGAGATGGCTCAGTGGAATAAGCGCTTCCCTGGCAAGCACAAGGGCCTGAGTTCAATCCCTGGTTCTGCCAAAAAAAAAAAAAAAAAGTTTGGGTTTTATTATATAGGTAGTGAGGGACTTGAGTCTCGCCTCAGAGACCACACCGAAGTTTTTTTTAAGTCCCTCATATACTGCAGACAGCATTCTTGTCACTGACATGCTGGAGGACCTCTTGTTTCTCTTGTAGCACAGATGAGTGGGTAGTTTGCTTCAGGGCAGGCATGGTAAGAAGAGGCAGAAACCACAGAGGTGAGGTGTTTGGAACTGGGACAATCTGGAATGTTATTACAGAATCGCTTTCTGTAAGGGTGGCAGTGCCACAAAGAGGGAAGGCAGCAGAGCTGGCATGAAGAGATAAGAAGTTTGCATGTGATCTGTTCGTGGCCCTGGCAAAAAATCCATGTTCCATGGTCAGAGTTGGCAGGCGGGGCGGGGAGACTGAGAGGGACTATAAGAAGGTTGCGGATATTTCTGTATAACCCACAAAACAGGATTTGTGGAAGAAAGCAGCGTTCAGTTAAAACAGTTCCAAGGATATCTGTGCGTGGTGGCACACACCTGTAATCCACACTCAGGAGGCTGAGACAGGCGGATCGCGTGTTGGAGGCCATCCTGGACTACATCGTGAGTTCAAGGCCAGCCTCAGTTATATAGCAACACCCTGTCACCAACAAAAGTCTCAATTTCAAGGAAAGATTTATGAACAAGCTTAACATGCCTTTAAGGTAGAATTTTTTTTTAATAGAAGAATACTTTTTTATTTTTTATTTATTTTTTATTTATTTATTTATGTGTGTGTGTGTGTGTGTGTGTGTGTGTGTGTGTGACCAGCTCAGCCCACCAGCGGGCGGGCTGGCTGGCATGTGGTGCTGGGGATTGAACCGCGGTCCCTGAGCTTTGCTAAGCTTGTTCTAAGTAGGTGCTTTAGACCACTGAGCCATCTCACCAGCCCCTAAGGTAGAAATTTTTAAGAAAAGTGAAAACCCCTTTCTCTAAGATATATATTATCATATATCTTTCCATATATTGGAAAGATATATACTTTTCTTTCTTTTTTTTTCTTTTTTGTACCTGGGATCGAACTCATGACCTTAAGCTTGCCAGGCAGGTGCTTAGGCCACTGAGCTATATCCCGAGCCCCCAATTACTTTTCTATGTAAAAAATATGTCAACAGTTGAGATCATTCTAGATATGTAGTTGTATATGTGTTTTCTTTGTGCATTGTATTATGTTGTTAAGTTTTTTCATAAATGTCTTTTTGGGAAATAATTAAGAAAAATGTCCTTATAGCAATATTCAGAAGCAGGGACGTACATTGTGCTGGAGATTGAGTTGGACAAGGCCTTGGTTCCAAAACGCCTGCCGGAGGAGCTGGCCAGAAGGTACGGAGCAGTGATTCTCAACAATTTAGGTCAAGACAAGAGGAAATTGGTTTGTTGTCACAAGGGTAATTTCTGCAGGCTAAGCAACAGCTTCCCCACCCCATGGGGTTTCTTCTCTTATTGTGATTTTCTTATTGCAAAAGCATTATATGCTCATTATAAAAAAAATTTAGAAAATATAGATGGACAAAAAAGTGTAAGAACACTCAGATTTCTAGTCATTTAATGATCTTTTAACACTTTAAATTGATTCTTCTGGGCTGGAGAGATGGCTCAGTGGTCTAAAGCACCTACTTGGAACAAACTAAGCTAAGCAAAGCACAGGGACCGCGGTTCAATCCCCCAGCACCACATGCCAGCCAGCCGTGCCCCCTGGTGGGCTGAGCTGGCCACACACAC